CTCCGGGGTGAGAGCTTCTTGCACTTAATAGTGGTATCTGACTAACGTCTTTAGGTATCCAAACCTTCCCTTGAGGCACTAATGACCGGAGACAGGGGTGTCTCGTTGATGACATCAATACGGCGAAAGGAAGTAGGTCTCCTAGTGCGCGGATCAGATACAACAGTAGGCAATCCCTTACCACCCCGATCTTGATCATGATCGTAGTTTAGCCGACTCTTGCTTCGTGGCAGTGATGTTGGTGGGTTTAGCAGTAGCAGCATTGGTTATTACTCGATCTCCTAGTCGGAGTTTGGCAGAAATACGTGGTGGTGGTACTTCTTCAGGCTTCTTAGTGGGTCTATGAATTTGCCGAGTGGATTCACATTCTTCCAATATTCTGTTTTTCATTTGAGAGGAAACAACGTAACCCATCCTTCTTAAGATTTAAGTCACTGAGGAGTTGTCATTTCGTGTCATTCTTTCAAAAACATAACAAATCTGGGTAACTATCTCGGACTTCTTTCTCTTTTTACCTTGATGGCGAGGCGGTGACAGTAATTTGGCGGCAATCTTATGAATACTTTTTTCTCCGTTAGTGGCAGACAGAGGATGAAACCTGCTCCCCTCGAGGTGAGGTGAGGTCTCCATCGACTCAGTTTCCAGTAGAGAAGTTGTCTTTGTTGTGACTAGATTGGTTGTTTGTGCTTTCTGAGCCCTCAATTCCCTCCTCCTGTGGTTCTTTCTTTGGGAACGTGTCAGCAGCGTAGACTTAGAGGAAGAGCCAATTTCAAATGCAGGGTATGAGGGAGCAGGAACATTCATCAAATCATTTTCATACAAAATTTCCTTCTCTTTTACTAATGGAACAGCTGGTGCTGCGAGGGTGAAACTAATATTCACCTTTTTGAGGGAAGGGAAATCATGATCGCCGTTTAAGTTGAACCTGGAGCTAAAGCAATCATTTTCATTATCATATGAGGTGTTTTTCCAAGTAATACTTCGAAACCCTCGAATCCAGACCCAAACCAAACCGTAGAAGCAATGTGACGGGCATCCTTATCGGTGGGCATGTTGAACATGAAAGTCAAACTTGGCAACGACATTGCTCCTGTCAATTGTAGATTTTCGAGTGTCAGTAGCGTTCAAAACCTTGCAATTTCAGCATAGAAATTGAAATTAGCACAATTGCCTAGTGAACTGAGTACTACTTTGAAGTTTTTGATTTTAATTCGAATTCTTTTTTTTGTCCTTTGTCAAAAATTTTCCTCTTTTTTTTTTTAAACGAATACTTTGTTTTGATATTGGGTTTTAAAATTTCAACACTACCGAGGAAAGTTAAAAAGGAATTTGACGTGACTTGTAAAAAGGACAAACAAATTTCAGAAGAGAAGTGAAGCGATTATGAGGCATAGGAGCGAACCCAAAATAGGAAATGATTCATTCCACATTAAACTCATTCTGACTTTAACACACCACACCTATTGGGGGTCCACCCCACTAAAACCTTAGGGATCCCTGAACATTTTCTACTTAAGGATGGTTAAGCAGACAATCCTGGAATCCAATAGGAGTTGACTATGCTGATTCAAAGAAGAAATGAGCATAGTAAGTCAACAGAAGAATGGTAGTCTGGCCCATGAGAGACATGGACACACCACCGATTTATGAAGATAAAACCACTTGATCAAAGATGGAGAGAGGAACTGGTCCAAAGAGGAGTCGCCAGAAATATTACCATTGTGCTCCTTTAATATACATAAGAGAGTGGATAGGCAAACTGTTATAGATCATTAGGATTGAAACCATTTTTATCACATAGGGCATGATAGTAAGTTAGTTTGCTCATATCAAACACTCTCACATTGCAGTAGATGTTGAAATCATGAATTTTGGGATGACAAACTTGATTACCAATAAAAATCTTGGGAGGGACGCTAAAGAAGAGACCCCCAACCAATCCGTGCCTAGCAAAGGGGGTCAAACCGAGCTCACCAAAGGGCTAAAAAAGCAAGAGATTTCAACCAAAGCACAATACCAAAACGAGCCAAACCAAACCCACCAAAGAGGTAAATTGAGCCCAACACAAGGGACAAACCAAGTTCAGCACAGAGGTAAAACCAAGCCCAACACAAGGGACAAACTAAGTCCAGCATAAGGGTAAAACCGAGCCCAACACAAGGGACAAACCAAGTCCAGCATAAAAGGCAACAAAAAGAAAACTATAACAGATAAATAGGGCTCAACAAAAGAAGCATATCAAGCCAATCTTATGCAAAACCGGGCGCAATTCTAAGACCAAATCAAGCCTACCAAATGGGACCAAAATAATATAAAACTTTTGGTTAAATCCAGCCCAGAAGAAATCGAAACCGAGCGCACCAAATGGGCCAAAAACAGAGAACATTTTTATCTATAATTCTCACCTAACAGAGCCAAAACCAAGCCCTTCACATGGGCAAAACAGAGAAATTTTCCAGCATAGATTCGATTCCAAAAGAGTCAAACCGAACCCAACAATTGGGTCAAAACAGCTAAAAATATTTCCCCTTGGAGCCTTATATTTCAAAGTATTGTGTCAGCATATGTTTCAGATAGAAACAAATAACAAGAAACATATAAGTATGTATGAATCATTCGAGCGGCCATGCGAAGAAGGGGAAGAGTTGAGAGAGGGGGAAGAGATCGCAGCGTGGATCGTCCACGGGAGCTAGGGCACACGAGGGGACGAGCCAAGCATATGACTAAGCCGCGGGGTAGAGCGAAGGGTTAAGTGTGCGGGAAAAGGGAAAAATAGGGTTTAGGGTTATAATTCAGATTATAAATAATGATATAAATATAAAAGTATTTAATATTTTAAAAATAAATTTTGATTTATGTATTTTCATTCGTGCGTCAGATTGTAGAAAATTGAATGTCTTTTTTAGGTAACTTTGGCGTTTCGTACGCGCTGGCACGATCTGTTTCGTTGTCGGAGGTTGTTTTGACGAATTCATTAATTTGCATGCAATTTATTCGTGTGTGGAATTATGGCAATATGGGTGTATTTTCTAGCTAAAATTGGTATCCCGGACGCGCTGGTACAATCCATTTTGTCATCCGGAGAAGTTCGCATTTTCACTCATCTTTTAAGCTTAATTTAAGTTCAATTTTGTGCAACTTAGTGAATTTTGTGCATTTTGTGTGTGTGTGTGATAATAAAGTCCTGAAAAGGTTTTCCTAGGGTTTGAGATCCTATTGGGAACTTCTCCCTGAGTCTCCACGTGATAGTCCTTTACCACTCGACCATAAGACGATGGTTTTGAGATCATTAATGCGAGACATCACAAGAGAAATAGGAAGTGGCTGGAATTTCTAAAAGGGTGGGTCTCAGTTCTAGTTTTCTAAGATATTCTAGAGCTAGATCCTAGGATTCTTAGGAAAAGTATAGTGACCTCAAAAAGAGGTCAACAAATTGACCTCTAATAGGTGTGGTGTGTTGACCAAGCACACTGCGCGTATTGATGTTGACCGAATAGATCAACAAACAAAAGAATTGTTTAAGTAGACCGACAAAAGATTGAACTTGATATGAAATTGAACTTGAGTTAGGTTCCTAATCGGGAACCCATAACTCGAGAAAGATTTTGTGAATGAATCAGTTGGGCCCTCCGTCGGAGAGTTCCCAACCAAAAGGCAAAAGTGCCCTGAAGATTTTTAAATGTTTCTGCTGGGGAATTAGCAAGTGAATATCCGATCGGAATCAACAAGTCGGAATTCTCGTTGGGGATTGGAGAGAAGGTTCCAAATTATCAAGTTTTAAGTGTTTTCGAAATATGGGAATCAGAATTTAGGTATTGATCCCGAAATGAGAATTGAAATTTGGGTATCAATCTCAGAAAGAGAATCAGAATTTAGATACCGACCTCGAAAGATGGAAATCAGAATTTAGGTACTGATCCCGAAATGAGAATTGAAATTTGAGTATCAATCTCAGAAAGAGAGTCGGAATTTAGGTACCGACCTCAAAAAATGGGAATCAGAATTTAGGTATTGATCCCGAAATGAGAATTAAAATTTGAGTATCAAAAAATCTCTCAATACTAGTCAGAATAATTCTTTGAGACGTTAAGTTAATTCTCCCTGTGCCATAAACAATTACCATATGCCTAAACAACTAAGTCTAAGAAAATCCCTCATCAGAACAACGCACAAGTTGAAAGTTCAAAACCAAAATTTTGGGTTCATAGATGGCCAAAGAGCACAGATACATTATAATTTCAAAAAAAATGTAATGCTTAAACAATAAACCTTCAAAGTTTAAGCTTAAACAACTACCTTGTGCCAAAAATAATTTAAGGAATGCGAAGACCAACTGTTTAGTCCTTTCATCCAAAATGATTGCTTAGAAAAAAAAAAAAAAAAATGTTTAGTACACCCATCAAGCATGACCTAAACTTGAATTATAGGACCACATAGAGATGGCAGCCTTTAACACTGCGCTCTCACTAAAATACCAACTTTTCATCAACCATTAAATTCCATGTATATCATAACCCTCCCACCCCCGAGTTCTTCTCTACTGAATAGGATTCAAAAAGTACCATTTAATTAAAAATTATTGTAAATAATAATCAAGAAATGTAGGATCTCAATCATCTAGAAAATGCCTTATATGCATTCAAACTCAAACAAGCATACGTAGAATTCAGTAGAAAATTCTTGTACGTAGGAATATGGTTTATGCATTCGTATTAGCTTACATGCCTTGTCTCATCAAACAAACATATCGTTACTTCTCATCGGATAATCCTTTTCTGACAAATTATTATAAACACAATTATTGCATAATCTCATTAATAATAAAAAATGCAAGAGAAAATTCTTTTATGGAATTGAGTTCTATATTTGTTTATAAACTTAAATAGTGATTCCATCATCAAATAAGTAACAGTAGAATTTTACTAATAATTGCAATAAGTTTCAGCAATCACACAAGTATAATATCTACCTAAATGACTACAATAGAATGAGATCATTACCGAATCAACAAATAGTGGTTCGCCTCCTTCAAATAATATGTTGTTGCTGCTCTTGTAAAGCTCGAAGTCCCACTTTTCTCCGCTCTCATATCGTCCACTAGTAATCCAATCGACTATTACCAAATTAGAATCATAAAAGATCTGGAATATCTGCTTTTGAGCGTATCTAGCAGTTGAGAAGCAAGTAACAGGATCTGGAATAACAGCCAACAACGCATTCCTTCCGACTTTAGCCTACTGCATACAAATAAAATCATCCTACTCAGCAGTTTCAGAGCGGATAAAAGTAATTTTGTTTAAGAATATCATATGAGTAATCAACAGCATGATATAATATTTACGATGATGGTAACCAAATATTACACATAGATGAACACCTCATCAATTCAGAATTAAAAATGCAGATGGTACCTCTAGGAATTGCTCACTGCATTTTGAGTCAATAGATTTGTATACCTATTAACAGAAAAACACATATAAGGTCTTGTCTTGGCATAAATTAGTTAAATAAGATAAAAAATGTGATGAGAAGCTTATCGGTCTACATGAAAGCTTCCAATGTTACCTTTGAATTGAGAAGCAACTAAATTTCAAATTTTTTTGGCATGCAAAAGAATCTTTTATGCTTTACAAGACATGTAACTTATTATCATATCCATACCATCACATGTTCTAAAAGTTTAAAATAAAAAATATGCACTTTTATTAATGTTATATTTCTTTAGAATTGAGAATATTCTTCTTATTATATTTTTTTCCTTTATTGTTATCTTTCCTTAACCTACATATTCTCTTCCCTTCAAATATAATATCAAAGTCATCAAAATTCCTTCTCACGTTGTCCCCATCAATTGATCGCCTTGCATCCATTAAGCAATTCCTCACACTTGCATCCATCCATATAACATGCACTTCTTTTGGCATACATGTAATTTGTCCTCAAACTACATCCATAATTCAACCCGGAAATCTTCCTAATGCACATTAGCCGTCTATGTCCATCTCTTGCACAATCACCTCGCACCTCATCCCATGCCAAATCCTAATGCCACACTAATCACCTCACATGTTTATCATTGCTTCTTGTGACCATCCATTGGCATACATTCCTCAATTTCCAAAAAGAATTTATCGAATAACTCTGACTAGATTTCTTATCATGCCACATCCATCAATCACTCAAGTCCGTGCAATTGCAGACACTTTTTCAAATTCAGCATTGAATTCCTCATTTCTCTTATTTTGTTAGTGACATACCAAGAATGTTTCTTGGTTCTCATCTACATGTGATTTTAATTCATCAATCCCACCATTTGCAATACTCTACACAAAGAGTCAATGCTAAACTTTAAAAATGTCACGACTCTTTCTCCTAAGCCGCACCTCTAGCCTCATTAGAAGTTGTCTACAACTAATCTCCATCATCGACCGATGAATTCATTGGTCCCTGATAGGAACAAAATAAGTAGCAATAAGTGATTTGTTTCAATTTGAAGTTGTGTTTCAATTTTTCAATAGATGTAAATCAAATGTACTGAGATGTTTATTTGTTTTTATGATGTTACATTCTAAAAGCAATGAAATACATACGATGACAGATGCGGGGAATGATATGGGATAATGTGCGGCCACAGGTAGCAATAAGTGATTACAAAAGGTAAAAAGTGATGAAAAATGTTTACAAATAATGGTATATCGCGGTTGCAAAAGGGTGATGAGTGGTTGGTGGTGAGCGTTCGATATGGTGGAAGACATGAGTGACGGCAGGCTAAAGTAGTGGTTGGTTAAAAAAAAAATCCAACGATAGTCCAGAGTTTATCCATATCTTATCCATTATTTAATACAAAACTTCGAATTTGAAACCTTGATAAGTTGAAATTTAAACTCCACAACTATCATCCATTGCAAAATAATAGCTTCACTATGTAAAAGGAATGGGAAAAGCTCTAGTCGGATTGAAGGAAAAAGAAGGGACAAAAACAAAATCCAAACACTTTATGGGTTGATTATGAATCAGGAGCCATTGATTTAAGCTTTTCAAGTTTTATTACGCTAAGTTTCCTTTTATTTCCCTCAATCCAAAACTTATATCACTCAAATTGGATGAACTGCATAAGTTTAAAATTACTCCACAAATTTCTTTCCTATTCCCCTTCACCCTTCAACACAAATTTTTAGAGAAAGTACAAATCAAAAGAACTGGAGTCAACAACCAACATAACATAAATTCAGAATTTAATCATGTACCTGAGGTACCAATTTGCTTGTCAGCATATCTAATCAAGAAGTTCTAATAAATGTAACCTAATCACTATAGTTCCATAACCGTACCATAAATAAAGTTTCTAATACCATTTACCTCCAGCCTTAACAAAAACGATCAATTTAATTTCAACTACAAACCGTGCTAGTAAATCATTCAAATCTTAAACTCGCATGATTAAGAAAGAATAAATTACTTACATTCGATACATTTAGCATCAAATCAACATCACAAGTTAATCTCAACAAAAATATTACAATCCCATGAACATACCTTGGTTGAAGCCTGAGTTGTCAGAGCCACAGCGCACCCATCACCCACACTTACCCCAACAGCTACTCGATCACCCTGAAACCAACAAGAATGCGCACATCAGAAACGGGGAGAGATGTGCCACAAGACTTAGCAATATCATAAATGAGGGTTTTGACGACCGAGACGATGCCGCCGCCGTAGGATAGACTGAAGACCCATACTGCGTCGGTGGTAGAGGAGCCAACCTAGATTGGAGTAAATCATGGAGAATAGCGAGGTAAGAGAGAGTTAGATTGAAAAGCCGAGATAAATTAGACGGCTGATTTGGAATCTTGCCTTCTTGGGGATGATCAGCTTGAGAGGGTATTTGGAGAAGCAGCGAGTGGCGGTTGATTTTCCATCTATCTTTTCCACAGTCAAAATGCCAGTCTCTTCCATTCCGTTTCTTGGCTTTGATTGAAGCTAAGAATTGGCAGCGGGAACTCGGGCATTTACATGAATACTAATGCTATATATATGTCAACATTAAGCTCAAAATAGATCAACTACTCTGGAAGAAGATATGAATGATGGAACATCACCTTGTTCGAATGATCAACTGAAGGCGCCAAGAGAAGCTTTGGTTGGGTAGTAATTAATCTTCATAGGGATCGAAGGAGATCACTCTATCAAACTAGATATTGATCGAGTGGAGACTTACCATACAATCAGCAACTCTGGTCGGTTGAATCATTCTTTAGTCTTATTTTATGTGAATAACTTTGTAATTACCAAAAGGTCTTCCTGAAAAGTTAATTATGATAGAGCTAATATGCAAAAAGAAAGAAGTGTTGGAGTGGTAAAGCTCCTGATAAGTTGAGGAGAAAATGAGAGACAATTTATGCTCACAGAATATTTCCTCGTGGATTCACCCCCAACGTATAACGCTATATTCGGTTAATTGATGCTAAACCATTTCATATGGTGTCAAGTTCGTTGTAGATGAAGAAATTATCACGATCAGAGGTGACCTGGAGCAATCCCGAGTCAGCTACTCGCAAGCTATAAACAACGTAGAGCACAATCCTCTTGACATCCAAAACACAAGGGAAAGTAGCACTGATGGTCAAGACCAAGTCCTTACCCGCCCAAAATGTCCTTCCTGATGGTAAAGACCAAGTCCCGGGTGCCTAAGCACCCAAAAAAGCTCAAAACAGTTACTTTTACAAGATCCAGGTAAGTAAGTGCCACCTAGGTGACGCCAAGGTGTCGGGGTCATGGCGCCGATTCTTTCCCAGATCAGGAAAAAAGCCATTTTTGGTGTTTTTCTTAACTTCAACACGTCTCTAAGCAATTGAAATGGCAAGCCTTGTGATGATTTGCTTTGGGAATGGGAAAAGAGGTAGAAAATACCCCTTTTAGGTCTTTCTTAGAGGTTTTCAAGAGGGCTAAGTAAGGGGACAACTGGGAGATTTTCTTGAGTGAGCTAATTTAAACCTGGGGGAGTTTTCTTGCTTCCAATCTTCCACCCATTTTTTAGTTTTGAGGCCTGAAGGAGAGCACTTGGAGATATTGGAAGTGCTTTGGAGAGATCTTCTTAAAGAGAGCAAGAGAGGAATATATTTATTTCCTTAAGAGGAGAAAGCTAAGGGAGCTTATCTCCTTCATTCGCTTCTTTTCTCCATACCTCAAAAATTTTGAGACAAAGTCACACTCTTAAGCAAATTCCAATTCCCAACTTATTTATATACTAAGGGCCTATTTAGGGGTGGTTGGAGTTTCTTAAAAAGGTAATTATACGGTTATGATGGAGAAAGCAACTTCCTAAAAAGTTATGATATTATATATATATATATACTGCTCCTATCGCTGTGTTGGATGAATTAAACACTATCTCGAACAGCTGGTTCAAATCAGGTAATGCCAAGAATTGTGCTTGGGTCGCCTTCTATTTAAGTGCATTGAAACTATTCTAAGTTGCATCTATCCAGTGGAATTTTTCTTCCTTCAAAGGACCGATCAGGGGGGCAATGATGATAGTGAAGTTTTTGATGAATTGCACGTAAAACAATGCTAGTCCCACAAACTACCTCAACTCGGTGAACAACTACGGTGTGGTCCAGTTCACGATGGCCTCAACTTTTTTGGGATCCATCAGAGTGCTTGTCCTAGACACGGTATCACCCAAAAATCATACATGATTGTCATAGAGTGAAACTTCTAAGGATGGTCATATAGTTGTATACCACAAAATCATCAAAATAGACGGCAAATACAAATTTTCCATAGTGCCCAGAATACCTAATTCATCAACCTCATAAAAGTATTGAGGAAGTCGAAGGGCATAACGGTCCACTCATATAAAATGACTCATGTCTTGAATGTGGCCTTCCACTCTTCTCCTGGCTTCATCTGAATTTGGTGATTCCAACTGTGTAATTCAATATTGAAAAAGATGATGGATCTGTGTAACTCGTCCAAGAGATCGTCTAGAGAAACTGGCACTTGATGATAATCTTGTTGATGGCGCTATTGTAAATTCACATATATAATCAATAGTCCTTCTTGGGTACAATTAGGGTGGAGAGATTCGACTACTATAAACCATGGCGCTACTGACCAACCCTCTCAAAATGAAATTATGTACCTATCACTATAACTCGTACGTCGCATGTCTCAATCTATGAGCGGGCGAATTCAGCAACATTGACCTTGGTATAAGACCTATGACGTGTTGAAAGTCTCATAGTGGTGATAATCCCTTCGAAGGACTGTCGGTCATCACATCCTGGAAGCCTTGTAGTAGTGGTAGTAGTAGTGCACATATCTCTCTCTCCTAAGTTCCCTCTAATAGGACTAATGTCAGCGCCACTAGAGCATCCCAAGCTGACTGCATGAAGGTGGCCCTGGGGACTAACACTTCTTCTGTGTCACTTACGCCTCTTGCATCCTTGATAGATAACAACACGATATATTTCCAACCCTTCTTAAAAGAGAAAGTATTCTTGAATTGTCAAGACCTACCTAACAGAATGAGGCATGGGTCCATGGAAACCAAATTGCACCATACTTGCTCCCGTAGCCGATCTCTAATAAAAAATTTGTCCAAGCATTGTTGATCCACGCATATCTCGTTTTCCTTCTTCAACCATGTAAGGGAATATGAATGGGAACGTTTTTGAGTGGCTAATCTCAAATTCTTCATCATCAACACGAACACTACCTCTTGATGATCAAGCTACAAACCTCGCACTTTGCCATGCGCTTGGTGCAAAAGATATTGCTTCAACTAAAATTGATCTCGCTCCAGCCTAACTGCAAAACTCCTCATATGACTAGTAATTCTCCCTTGTCCCCCTGGAGATGAAGTTCTTCCTCTGGACTATCCTCCGAAGCTTCGTCCTCCACCTCCTCGACAATGTTCTGATCTGTGAATGTGATAACTCGGCTCGTGCAACAGCTGGAGGCTGTGTCCATGGTCGGGGCAGTCGTAGGTAACTGTGTAACTGAAGTGTGCTACCTGAATGAAAACTGTTATATGCACTGTTTTTGTTATCTTTTCACCTTCAAAATTATAATTGGAACATCCCCCAGCATTCAGTATGGCTCTAACTGCACCATACTGAAAATAGCAAGTTTCAGGTCTCCCAGGTACCATACCATTGTGTTCTCCTCTGGCTCGATCAACTCGCATATCACCTGCAATTGGTCGAACTGAGCTATGAATTCCTTCATTGAACGTCTCGCTATTGCAGGTGGAGCCTCAAAAAAATGTCCTGGAGGTAATGAGGAAGAAAGTATTTCATCTAAATTGTTTTCATCATCTTTACCCACTTAGTAATCTTATCACTGTCTTTTCTTTTTTCTGTCTTTATAAGTTCTCCTACCACAAAGAGACTTTTTTTCAACTTGATTGCTGCTAATTTTAGCCGTTTGTCCTCTGACAAATCTATACTCGAAGATTCACTCAACAGATTGCAACCAGTCAATAAACCCATATGAATCCATACCTCCATCACACACTAGTAGATTCATTTTGATGTTGAAGTTCGTTCGTCAAATGTGGGCCCTTCTCTCAAACACCTATAATATTGAATTCCAAAGTGGAGTGGGCGGTATTCCTCATCGCTGATGTCTTCCCTGTTGAACGGATTCCGATCTTTATCCATATCTACCCTCTGACTCTCTACATTACGGTCGAGAGTAATCTCTCACTGAGTTCCATCATTGATTTTCGCGAGCCTCTGTTGAAGCCGACAGAATTCCCTCTATATCTCGTCTCGATTACTTTCCAACAAGAATCTCTGTGATGGCATGATTAGAGTTTGGGTATGGAAATGGTGGTTGAGGACCGAAAAGAAAAAATATTGAGGTAAGTCAGATACTAAGAAACCCTAAGATAGGACTAAGTTTAGTGTAGCATTGATACCAAATGATATCAAAGTTAACCCAAATTTGATAGAAGAAAGTAGAATCTCATTAATCAAATAACAGAATATAAACAGAAATCAAAACAACATACAAAATCAGCAAAACACAATATTCGTCTAGGGTTCGATAAGATAATATGCAGAAGATAGTAAGTGGGTGAGGGGGAAGCGGTAGTAACAACAAGGTGGTAGAGAAGTTGCAGTTTTAGTGGGGACTGAAGGGTGAGGAGAGAGGCTGTGGTGGAGCTTGCAGCAAGAGTGGAGAGCAACCTGCTAGGATATCAAGAAAGAGGAAAGCGGTGCAGCAAAGGGGAGCGGTGGAGCTTGCGGCGACAGTGGATGTAGACCTCGGGTTTTAAAGGCGAAAATAGAAGAGGGCGCAGGTGGTAAGACAACGTGGATAGAAAGGGAAGAAGCGTGGGGTTTGGTCAAGATAGTCATCAGCTTGCAGCAGAATACAGTCAGAGGACCACTCATCCTTAGATACAACTCTAACTAGAGAAAAACACCGGAAGCGCAAATCTGAAATAAAAACTGAAAAAAAAACTAGATCTAAGTATACCAAAAAAAACAAATATATAATAAATAGACGATAGAATGGGAAGGGGAGACCCTCCCCTTTGGGCGGCAAATAGAATAAAAAGGGTGAGTTGGCGGCAAAGAAAATAGAACAGGCGGCAAGGCAGTCCTAAATTGATCCGTTGACCGGTTGGCCCTATTCGCCCTGGTTGGTTCTACCCTACTACTGCGGAAGGGCCTGCGGCATGTAAGCCTTTGCGTCGGTCTCTCGGGGTTGGGGGAGCTTCACCTTCATTTGTCAAAGCTTCTGACTCCTCATAGCACGGTGTCAAGTCCGCAGCTATGAACTTTGCAAACATGAAGTAGTATAATATCTACCTTTCATCGTGTTTGCATTTATACTATCGAAATCTTTCATATAACATCGAAAAATATCATCATTTTAAATGTATTTAAAAATGAAATGATTATTTACATAAATAAATAATATGACATAAATATGTAAAACGCCCATGCCTGGCTATTAGGTATGTAAATATGTTGGCGTGTTATGATAGTGTACATTAGTTTCACGTTTAATGATCGGACATTTTCTCCCGTACTGAAAAATCTCGTGCAAAAAGCTCCGTATTTTGAATACATTTAAAACGCACAAAAAATAAAAA